CCTCTCTCTCTCTCTCTCTCTCTCCCCACTCTCTCCCCCTCTCTCTTTTTCTCTCTTTTTGCCTCTCTCTCCCCTCCCTCCCTCCTTCCCTTTTCCCTCTCCCACATTAAATAAAAATAAATGAATGTAATATTTTTCAAAGGCGAGAATAGAGGGTATTCTTATTCCTCTCCAAACAATTTAGTTTCTTCTTCTTTGCCTTTCAAAATTTACAATTCTGAGATATTTTGAACTTTTACTTCTTAATCCTGACGTAAAACCAAACTTAGCATTACTTCAGTATTTATTTAATAGAAAACTTGGGTGTTTGGAGAAAATGAACTCTTTAATAATATAGGCATTGTGTTTATAATCTGATAACAAGATATGCCAGTCCTGCTTGTGTTTGAAATGTAGACTGACTGACTACTTTCAGAGGGAGTCAGGGGTGAAGTCAAAGCAGACTTGACCTGTTTGAGTGTGTCCTGTTTGGTTCCTTCAAGAGGTGCAATATTTTATGAACACATTCCATTTACCTGGAGTCCTTTTTTAGGTGACAGTCTTAATGACCTTGAGAAACTCAAAAGTTCTGTTTCCAGAGATGTTTCTTTGGCTTTTTCTTGACTTACACCAGACAAATTCATGTAGGCAAGACTAAGAAATTGTGTCAGTTGATAGAAAAAGTGTTGTGATTTTAACAATACAATGTTTGACATACAAATTCATTAAATGCTCGTTTATTTCTAGAAATTGAAGATATTAGGATGGCATTGCTTGAGAGCTTTTCAGAATGATCTTTTCGGTTTGAAACCCAAGTAAAAGCAATGTCATTTTTATTTTATAGTATGTTTTCCAAAGGAATTTTTTTAATTTTGTGCTTCTGTGATCCACCCTAAGGATTTTCTCCATATTTTATTAGTGAAAATAAAGTATTACAGATAAAGGTTTACTTAAATTAATATTAGCACCAAATTTGAAAAGTAGCCTTCTTTAGGCAGTTATTTAGAACACTGCCAGAGGCTGGAGAGATGGCTCAGCAGTTAAGAGCACTTGTTGCTCTTCCAGAGGACCAGAGTTTGATTCCTAGCACCTACATGGTGGCTCACAATTGTGTGTAATTCCAGTTCTAAGGGACCCTTTTCTAACATCTACCCAGGGCCATTCACTTGCTAGGCAAGCTCTCTACCACTGAGCTAAATCCCCAACCCCAAACTTTTTTCTTTTTGGTTTTTTTTGAGACAGGGTTTATTTGTATAGCTTTGGAGCCTATCCTGGAACTCGCTCTATAGACCCAGATGGCCTCAAACTCACAGAGATCCACCTGCCTCTACCTCCCAAGCACTGAGATTAAAGGTGTGGGCCAATCCTGCCTTATGATAATCTTTTTGAAACAGCATCTCATGTAGCTAAAGCTGGTCCATAATTCCTGATCCTCGTGCCCCAACCCTCCCAAGTCCAGGGATTGCAGCTATGAGCCACTATGCCTTACAAACTTAGTCTTTCACCTGCATTTGTACCAAAGCCACCATCTTGTTTTTAAATTGTCAGTGCTGTAAACAGTTTGTTGGTACTGGCTTTAGTCTTTCTTTATTACCTTTCAATGAGATTTTATTATTTGAATAAGAAAAGACATGCTTTTTTCCTAAAAATTTACATATCTGGAAGTTTATATAATGTGTGTGTATATAATTGACATTACTAGCAAGTAAAATTATCTATACCAAGGAAATATGCTACAGGCTGCAGGAATATGAAATAAAGATTCAGCTGTATATGGTAAAACTATACCTAGAAGGATCAAGGAATTCTTCCAGAGGAAAAAGCCAAATCTCAAGAAGTATTTAGTGTTATCTGGCTTTTAATATATCAGCTTTTTTTGCTATGAATTTCTTGTGCATTCTCATAATTTCCCCAAGAACTTTTATCAGTGTGGATGGATCATTTCTTGAGCATATTCTTTAAAGTACTTGGATAAGGTCACATAGACAAGGCTTTCAGCCTGCAGGCTTCCAGCTCCCTTTTTAGCATTTGAACTGGATATCTGCCTTCTGCAAATATCCCCCTTTAGCAAGCATCCAAATATAAGGCCAGCTCCAGACTAGGACAAACAACAGATAGAATAGCCGCTGGGTGCCTGACGCCCCTGAATGAAGGTAAACACCCTCGCACAGACACAGCCTGTCTCCTAGGTGCATAGCTTTGCTTCTTGTGCAAATCAAGCTCAGATCTCCCCTTCTCTCATAGCCCTAGGGCAACTTCTTAGAACAAAAGGGTTTTCTTCATACCAGGTGTTTCAAGCTGTGATACAAATTGACTGGCTATCAAGTACTCCTCCCCTGCCCTGTCAGAAAATGGCAGCATAGGAAAGTAGAGGCAGTTTTATTTTAGTGACTTAGAGACTTCTTTACCTAACCACCTGTAAGATTGTAGTT